AGTGATTCCTACAAGCAGAACCACAATCAAACCAGTTCCCAAACTCTCCTTAATGAAGCAGTATTAACTACCGCCATTTCTTTCACCATCCTGTTGCTGATGTTTTTTAAGTTAGAAATTTATTATTATTATTATTATTATTATTATTTTTTTTTTTTTTGGAGACGGAGTCTCGCTCTGTCGCCCAGGCTGGAGTGCAGTGGCGCGATCTCTGCTCACTACAAGCTCTGCCTCCCGGGTTCACGCCATTCTCCTGCCTCAGCCTCCTGAGTAGCTGGGACTACAGGTGCCCGCCACCACGCCCAGCTAATTTTCTGTATTTTTAGTAGAGACGGGGTTTCACCGTGTTAGCCACAATGGTCTCCATCTCCTGACCTTGTGATCCACCCACCTCGGCTTCCCAAAGTATTATCTGTTTTTATGTATAAAAACACCCTCTCCTTTGACCAAAACTTTAGTCAGGGCCCTCTGAGTCCTCTTCTTGACTAGACCCAACCTTAGGCTTCCCTCTCTGTCTTTGTAGAATCCAGTTTGAGCAAGAATCCTGCTAAGTCAGTTTATCGAAAATTCCCCACCCTTGGTATCTGACCTTCGATATCTAGTCACCCGGGCCTGCCTTCAGCAAGAACCCTATCAAGTCAGTTTAGCTAGAAACCCCTCATCCTTGATGTTTCTTCTTAGTACTTTTTCATCCACTGACACCCACCCCTACAAACCCTGCTGCTGAGTTACAAGTCCACTTGTCCTTGTTGCTGGAATTGAGTCCAATTTTTCTCCCCCACTGCTGCAATGGTTCCCGTATCTATCTCCATGGCCTCCCGCTTTGAATAAAGTCTGCCTTACCATCTTTAACAAGGGTCACGAATAGTTTTTTTCTTGGAATGTTCCTGAAACCACCATTGCAAAATTATAACTGAGACAGTGAAAGAGACCTGACCTAACCAACTCCATCTTCTAACCTCCAAGCTGTCCTTGTTTATTCCTGGGCGTAGACTGAACTAACTTAGGGAGGAACTTAGTTGTTTATAGTTTGACACAAAGATGGTCACAACCTTTTCCCAAAATAAACCCCCTTCTTGCCTGGGGACTAGACTGCCTTTGTAGGACTAACGAATTAGCCACAAGATTACAAATTCTGGTTTAAGAGTCATGCAGGCGGAGGCTATAAGATTCTCACCCTCCATAAACTGTTCCTAAAATCAGTGCTTGAGATATTTCGCAGACCCTGCACTTGATGGATCTGCTGGCCTCACCTAGATGGAGAAACTGGCTCATCTGATCTTATGACCTTCACCCCAGAACTGACTCAGCACAAGAGGACAGTTTAACTTCCTATGATTTCATCTCCAACCCAACCAATCAGCACTCTCGACTATTTCATCTCCAACCCAACCAATCAGCACTCTTGACTCACTAGTCTTTCCGCCACCACCAAAAATTATCCTTAAACACTCTAATCCCTGAATACGGAGAGACTGATATAAGTAATAATAAAACTCCATCTTCCACACAGCCAGCTCTGCGTGAATGACTCTTTCTCCATTACAATTCCCCTGTCTTGAAAAATCAGCTCTATCTGGGCATCAGGCAAGGTGAACCCGTTGGGCAGTTATATTCCTAACATAAAGAAATGATAAATGCTTGAGGAGATGGATATTCCAATTACCCTGCATGCATCATTATACACTGTATGCTTGTATCAAATCATCACACGTACCCCACAAAAAAATTATGTACCCATAATAATTTTTTAAAAATTAAAATAATTTGAATATATCTTATGCATTAGTTGCTTTACTAAGTATAAAACACAAGTCTGCAAATTTTTTCTACATGTTTTTTGGAGGCTTGCTTTCTCCATTATCCATGTAGGCAATATCCTCATGAACACTAAATACAAGAGACAATTCTCAATCCTCTTTTTAGCATTTCACTGTACAAACGCCTCCACCTTTAGCTCCTGATTCTCTCACGGTTCCTCTCGTACTTTTTGACTGCTCTTTCTTATGCTATTTCTCTGGGTTCTTTCTCTTCCTACCTCTTATTGCAGTTGTTTCCTTAGATTTATCCACAAACATTAACTTTTTTGTCTGATTGATCCCCTTCACTGCTCCTGCCTTCCAGAGAGGTCCTCAAACAATAGTTCGTAGATTCGCTGCATCAACCAAGTACTTGTTAGTAATACAGCTTCCTGGGCCGCTGAGATTAAAACTTCTGAAACTCAGAATTTTAACATAATTTTAAGGAAAGAATCATAATGAAGGAGCTCCAAAGGATTCTGGGGAGAAGATAGTCCAGTGATCACTGTTCTAGAAGATGCTGCTAATGTTTACATTTATTTCTTTAGTCAATCCTGAGGGTTTCCTGAGCTCTAGACCACTCATTCTAACAGTTTATTGGTGACCCCAGCTATATTTCCCTCCCTCAACTCATCCCAAAGCTGCAGGAATTATGTATGCCCTCTATGTTTTATTCCTTTAATGACACCATTTATAACCCCCACATACAGCCTCCCACGCTAGAAATCTGATACCTACATCTTCTCTCCTTTCTCACCCCTACATCTAGCTGATAATATAATCCTGCTGACCATGTTTGTGAAATATCATCTGACTCCACCTGGTTTTTCATTTATCACACAGTGATCATTTACTTCGCCACTTCATCTCTTTCTCAGGATATTGTAATAGTTTAGACTTGTCTAACACCCTGATTCTTTTATCTCTAATCCATCCTGCACATTTCAATATGAATCATCATTCTAGGGCAGCACTCTCTTGTAGAACTTCCTGCAGTGATGGAAATGCATTGTCCAATATGGTAGCCCCTACCCTCATGTGACTATTGAGAACTTCATATGTGATCAGTGTCAGTGGAGAACTGCATTTTAAATATAATTGAACTCAAATGTATATAGGCAGCCAGGCGTGGTGGCTCACACCGATAATCCCAGCACTTTGGGAGGCTGAGGCGGACGGATGACCTGAGGTCAGGAGTTCGAAACTAGCCTGGCCAATGTGGCGAAACCCCATCTCTACTAAAAATACAAAAATTAACCTGCATGGTGGCACATGTCTGTAGTCCCAGCTACTCTGGAGACTGAGGCAGGAGAATCACTTGAACCTGGGAGGTGGAGGTTGCAGTGAGCCGAGATTGCGCCATTGCACTCCAGCCTGTGTGACAAAGTGAGACTCTGTCTCAAATTAAAAACAAAACAAAACAAAAAATGTATATAGCCACTTGGATCTGGAGGCTACCATATTGGACACCACAGTTCTAAAATATGAGTCTTTTCTTATCTCATTGCTTTAAAAAAACTCATTGGCTATAGGATGAGGTCTAGACAGTAGTGTGAATGATCTTCATACTCTAACCTCCTCTTCAGTTTCTACCACCACCACCTACCTCACTATCCCGATCCCACATACACTTTAGTACTGTAGAACTTTGCTTTTTCTAAATAAGTCATAATTTTTCTATCTCCCAGCTCTTGATCCTGCTGTTTCCTCTATGTGGAATGCCTTTCCTTTATGTCCTTCCTTTCAGAATTTGACCCATTTTTCAAGGTTTAATAAAGAAAGCCCTGCCCCCACTCCCAACAAAAGGAACATCCCCTTATGGATCTTGGACAAGCCATTTACTATCTCTCAGCCCAGTTTTCTCATCTGCAGAGTGGGAATAACATTTCTTCTTTTACGGAATTGTTGGGGGATTAGATACTGCATTATTCAGACTCCATCACTGAGAAAGCATGCAATAAAAATAGCTGTTATTATTTTCTGTCCTTCTGTAACATTTATCATGTGGTATCAGGCATCTTTCCAGATAAGACTCTCTCTCCCCTCAAGACTGTGAGCTTGTTAGCAAGAAAGCCTCGGTCTTGTTCATGGATGTCCTTCAGCATCCAGCACATTGTTGCCATTTGACAAATGCCTTGGCTGGGCGGCAAATAAATAACTTAGTCAGTTACTCACATAGGATTGCATAGAACTTTTTTAAGTATGACATTTTTGTGTATATTTTTAGGGGGGAGTAAAAGAGACATACAGTTGTAGCAAGAATTAGCAAAAAGAAGATGCCAACAACTTTTCTTTTTAAGCATCAAATCTTTCTCATTACTGCCCAGAAAAACTGGCATAAGCTGTTGTTAAATCTGTGCCCCTTCTCCTCGCTTGACTGGAGTACGAGTTTTAACATTTTGCCATTTTGACTTTCCTTTCTGGGCCCCCTGGGTCCTCTCCTCCCACCCCCTCCCTGGGTAGTAAGTTTTCATCACTGTCACCATGGCAACAGCAAGGATGCCTCATTTCTCACAGTTTCGCACAGCTAAACTCTGGTTGCCTTTGTCCACTGAGCTAGCTGAATTCTTTATATATACACCACTAAATCAACTATCTTCTATACAGAACTTCATCCATTATTCAACCTTAAAACAAAAACAAAAACAAAAACAAAAAAACAAAAACAAAACAAAAAAAACTGATGTATACTAATTTCTTCTCCTGGGAATGGCCTTTTTCCAGACTTACCAAATACTCTTGAATACACCAGACATTTTTGGTCCCTAGGAACAAATGTAAAAATTGCTAGTGTACGTGCGTCCAATATAAGCGCGGCACAATTTTAAAGCACGCAACAGAGCATTCATAATGGGTTTCCCTTTTAAAAGCACAGTAGACCAAAAATAAACCTGACAAAGGGCAGCTGTAGAGTTTTAACACGTGGAAAACTCCACAAGCAGCAGTTATGTAACTTGAAAGAAACATGATAAATATTTCACACCATTAGATGAACTTCCAACTCTGACACTGAAAAAAAAAAGCAAAGAACACGAAACGAATGCACCTCAAATCTCCAAGGAGCAAAAAGCTTAAACTGAGAAGAGAACAAGGCTGTGCTAAAATCTGAGACCTGACTTCCAGCACAAGGCTTGATTGCGTTTTTTTTTTTTCCTCCAGTCCGAGGCGGAGCCCGCGAACCCCATCTCCTCAGAGCGCCACCCCCTCAGCTTCGCCCGATGGGCAGAAATTTTCCAAATATCTCCACCCCTAGGCTGAAAAGCCAAAAAGAAGTTTTGAGCCAAGGAGGGGAAGAAAGGAGTTGGGGCAAAGCAGGAGGCGTTTCCCCACCCGCATACATCCCCGTCCCCGAGACACCCAATCCCCCCACCCCCAGCCTGCCCACGCCTCCCGCCCCCGGCTCCTCGCCCTGGGGACAGCTGGCAGCCCCGCGCGGACCAGACACAAAGCCGATCAATCCCAGAGGCGTGGGGGCGGAGGGACGACCCGCCGGGGCTTTCCCGGGCGCTGCTCTCCTCCTGCTGCCCCCTTGTTAGGACCCGGCGGACGCCTCGCCTGGTTTTCACGCCCTCTAGCCCCCACCCTCACCCCCCGCAAAAAAGAACAGACCCCCATCCCTGGGCTGGAGGACCCGCCTCTTGGCAGCCAGCTGAGAAGGCGCCCCGGGGAGGGGGAAATTGACATCCCATCTAGAGCCGTCCCTCCTCTTCCTCCCCTCCCGACTCTACTCCTCTCCCGCCCTAGAAGTTCAAGGGCTCCCGGCCTCCTGCGCTCCTGCCGCCGGGACCCTCGACCTCCTCGGAGCAGCCGGCTGCCACCCCGGGAAGATGGCGAGGAGGAGCCGCCACCGCCTCCTCTTGCTGCTGCTGCGCTACCTGGTGGTCGCCCTGGGCTGTAAGTTGCTCGGGTTCCTCTACCCTTCCTGCCTGGACCAGCCTGCCCCCACCCTCCAGCCCCCCACGGGGCGCTCGCGGAAGGAGTCTGGGCGACTCTGGGCCGAGGTCGCCGCGGGCGTCTGACCTTGCGCCCCAGCGAGCGGGAAACCCAGGGTGCCCGCGGGCGGACGCTGGGAGCAAGGGAGCGCGAGGTCGTGGGTTTCTTGTAAATTGCGTCTGATTTTGTCGGTTCTAAATACAGAAAATTAAGGGTTCCCACTAGCAGGTTCTCATCTGTTTGTAAAGTTGGGTTAAGTTTTCAGACAGAGGGACGTGATTCGAATGCAAAACTCACTACCCACTGGTAAGATGCTAAGATCCCAAGAAAGATGGCATCACTGGGAGGCGGGCGCCGGCCACACTTTGAGTCCCCGGGGAGGGGGCAGCGTCCGCGTGGTCTGGGCTCTGTAGCGTCCCGGCTGAGCCGGTGATATGCAAAGCACTTGTGGGGCGGAGATGGGGGGAATTCGTGGCTGCTGAGCCAGAATTACTTTTATCCTCTCCACCTGCACATCTACATTCAGTTAGAGAAGTCTGGTCTGGGGACTCTAGCCAGCTGCTGTGTCCTCAGGGGACATCCAACGGGACGATTGTTAGAAAGATTCAAAAGCCACATGATCCAGTAGCTGGGGAGACGTCCCAAAGCCAATTTCGCCGGATGATTTTAAACAGGATTGTCACGGATTCTGGGCTCATGAGATTTAAAATCCTGGGAACGTTGCCGTTATTTTTTTTCTTCGCGTTAACTTTTTAGGAAAATGGAGGAAATTACAATAGACCTTAAGCAATGCAGTTTGACTTTTGCTTTTTCTTTTTTCTCCTACCTTTTTTGTTTTGCTTTTTTCCCTTCCTTCCTTTCTTTTTTCTTTTCTTTTCTTTTCTTTCTTTCTTTCTTTTCTTTCTGTCTGTCTGTCTGTCTCTCTTTCTTTCTTTCGTAAAATGAGTTACTATTGCTATTCTTGTTCCGGTAAAGTAATACTTATAATACTTAACCTGCGGAATGAGTGTCTAGGACCACAATACAATGATATTTTCTCACGCCCTCGCTGCCCAAATGATCATCGCACAGCTCAAGTGATGTGAGCACGTCCCTTTGTGGAGGAGGAAGGTGCACATTGTCTCAGGGAAGGGACATGTGCTGACCAATATTATATAAAGTCAAACCAGAAAGCCAAAGTTTCACAATGAAACCCTTGTGCAATTTTGAAATATCAGTTGGTATTATACGGAACACACAGAAGAAAAAAATGCACTCATGCTAAAAGGCAACAGAGAGGTAGGTTGGACAAATTGTAACAAAACAACTGAGAAAGTTATGTATTCTGCTGAAATCCTAAATTTCAAATAGAAAAGAGTGTGCCTGTTAGTGTAGAATTGTCACTAATTAAAAACAGAAAATCGTTTCTGCTCTGCTATTCCTATTGACTCACCAACATAGAAACAATACACCCCAAGTTTGAAATCGTAATGGAGAAACAACCAAGAGGCAAGCAAAAGCATAAATGAATGGGGCTGAGTGACCTCTTCAAGCTTTAGGTAAATATAACACATTTGCTCTGCTAAACTTGATTCCTACAGGGGATAAATTTGGAAGTGTTGCGGGGACTTTTCTATATTGTTCCTGAGACACCAAAAGATCTGGCATTGCAAGAGTGTTTTATTTGTGTGTGGGTTTTTTTTATGTTTAAAACAATTTTAGAACAGTTTGGATTTAGATAAAAATTCCAAAACTAGTATAGAGAGTTCTCATATACTCCACACCCAGTTTCCCGTATTGTTAATATCTTACATTAGTATGGTACACTTTATTCAAATTTCCTTCATTCTTACCTAATGCCTTTTCTATTCCAGGATGCCATCCAGGTTACCATATTACATTTAGTTGTCATGATTCCTTAGGTTCTTCTTGGTTGTAACAGTTTCTCAGGCTTCCCTTGTTTTCTCTTGCTATAATGGGTTTGAGAAGTACTGGTCAAGTATCTGGTACAACAACCGCCAATTGGTGTTTCTCTGACATGTTTCTCATAACTAGTCTGGGGTTATAGGGTTTTTGGTGGAAGATCAGAAAGTGGTAAGGGACCTAGGTAAAGGGACATTTTCATCACATTATCTCCAGGGAACATACTGTACACATGACTTACTGCTGTTGATGTGAACCTTGATCGCCTGTAATCCTACTCATAATGTAGTGTATACCAGCTTTCTCCACAGATTACCTACCCTTTTATCTTCATTTCCATACTAGATTTTTTGGAAGGAAGTCACTACATGCAACCCACACTTCTTCAGAAAGGAGAGTTATGCTCCATCTCCTTGCAGGCGGAGTATCTTCATAAATTATTTGGAGCTCTTCTGCATGGGAGATGTGTCTCTCTCTTCCCTTCATTTATTTAATCGTATGTTTTTCTATCAGTATGGGCTGATACATATTTGTTTTATACTTTGGGTTATAATTCAATACTATTTTATTTATTAAAGACTTAGTGAATTTCTAATACTGTTGTTACAGATTCATCTTCTTAATATTCTTCCCAGATGTAACTGTGCCACTCTTTTGGTCACTCCTCTCATATACATCTCATATACACTCCTCTCAATATCATGCTTACTCCCTTCCTTCCTTTTTTTCCTGTTGTTTATGAGCATTCTTTATATCTTTCTCAGTAGTCTGAAGGATTGCCTTTTTGATGCTGTTCTTGTTATTTAAATGATGATGTCAGTATCACTGTTGATACATGGACATTTGTGTGTGTTTAGTTTAATTACATTTTTCTTTCCCACTCCATTAGGAAAAGAATTTCTTGATGTTTGCTCACCACTATATGTCCAGTGCTGAATGAAGTTCCTGGTTAATAGTAGGTATAAATATATGCCTGTTGATTCTGTGGTGTCTTAGTCCATTCAGGCTGCTGTAATAAAATACCATAAACTGAGTAGCTTATAAACAACATTTATTTCTCACAACTCTGGAGGCTGAGAAGTTCACATTCAAGATACCAGCAAATTCAGTATCAGGCAAGGGCCCACTTTCCGGTTCATAGATGGAGCCTTCTCAGGGTGCCCTCCCATGGTGGACGAGGCAAGGTAGCTCTGGCGTCTCTTTGTAAGGGCACTTGTTCTCATGACCAGATCACAGTCCAAAGCCTTCAACTCCTAATACCATCACATTGATGATTAGATTTCAACATATGAATGTGGGGGGACATAAACCGTAGCAGATGGAATGGGGATGAGGCAGGGTAGGTAAAAGAAGTGTATAGATTGAACTGATTGCCATATAAATCATGAAGCTCTAACTTCATGTTAAGTAGGTGGGGTGTCAGATTTCTCTGAGGCATCATTTAAGCTGATATCTCAAAACATAATAGGAATGAGTATTCCGTGTTTGGTGGGGGTGTTGTCATACCTTTTGGGGTCTCTCAGAGCCAAGGAACTGATTGTGAATGATCTACCTAGCCAGTAGCAGCTGGTCCTCAGATCTGGACTGGGACCTGATCCAGGCGCTTAGCCTGAGTCTAATCTCTCATCAACTGATAAAGATTGTGGTAGGAGAGAGAGGTCTGAATCTTTTGTAAAAGCACAAGGTGCTGCCTTTTTGCCAGAACTGACCCAAAGCAGCACTCCAGGGAACTGGTACTAGGAAAATTCTGCCCTCTGTATCTATTGTTAAGAAGCAACTGTCATAATCAATTTGCTGGGGAGAAGTGGTTCCATGCTGGCATAGTCTCAATTATCTGATGAACAGAAACGTTAAAATGGGCTTGTAGGTGGATTTAACAACCATTTCAAGACTATGAAAGAAATTATATTAAAAAGAATGAAGTCAAAAACAAAAACTTCAGCCTGAGCACAGTGACTTCGCTACAACCGAGAACACTCATATATCCTCCCACATGCGCAGTTTAATGAGAGGAGCCCAGAGGAGCTTACGGATGTTCACCACGCATGGTTTCCATTGCATTGGTTTCCTCCTGTGGGCCTTCTCCGTAGAGAAGATGTATTAGAATACAGAGGTAAGAGCTGCTAGCTTTATTGAAGTCAGACCACCAGGAAGCTATAAAGGCCATTACTTAAAATAATATTTTTTCATTCCACGCAATATAGTAATAACACTGCTGAGTCAATACTCCAGTATACCCCTCTAGCTAGACTGATGTTTTGAGGAAGATGATAGTGAGGATGGAAAAGGGGAATCAGAACATGGGTCAGGTGCTTCCTTTGGCAAAAGCAGCAAAAGAAAACTTAAAACCAGGGGCTGTTTTCTTGGACGGTATTAGTGTTAACAAGGCTAGAACTCAGAAAAAGCAATCCAGCCACATTACTTTTCTATTGCTGTGAAACATATGACCACAAACAAAACAATACAAATGTATTGTCTTAAAGTTCTAGAGGTCAGAAGTCTGAAACAGGTCTCACTGGGCTAAAATCAAGGTATTGGCCGGGCGTGGTGGCTCATGCCTGTAATCTCAGCACTTTGGGAGGCCAAGGCAGGCGGACCAGAAGGTCAGGAGATCGAGACCATCCTGGCTAACACGGTGAAACCCCATCTCTACTAAAAGTACAACAAATTAGCTGGGCATGGTGGCGGGCACCTGTAGTCCCATCTACTCAGGAGGCTGAGGCAGGAGAATGGTGTGAACCCAGGAGGCGGAGCTTGCAGTGAGCCGAGATCACGCCACTGCACTCCAGCCTGGGCAACAGTGCAAGACTCCATCTCAAAAAATAAATAAGTACATAAATACATAAATAAAATAAAACAAAATCAAGGTATCGGCGTAGAACATTCCTTCTGGAGGTTCTAGAGCAGAATCTGTTTCCATGGCTTTTCCAGCTTCTGGAGGCTCCCCATTCACAGCTCTGTCCCACCAGCTTCTAAGTGTGTGATGCCAGGCTGCCATCTCTCTAGTTCTCTGTCTTCTGCTTCCTTCCACTCATCAGGACCCTTGTCTCACCTGACCT